GTCAGCACACCCTGGCTCCATTCAGGGCCCCAGCCCTGCCATTGCTGTTCATCACCCACTGCAGGAAAGTGGTGCCAATACATGAAGAACAAGCCCTTGTCACACTTGCCGTGCGTCTGTTCTCTTGCCATGGGGTTTCCACTGCTCTCACGCCACCCCAGGCTGCTCCATTGCACCTGCACTGGCCCCCTGCCACAGGCTGAGGAGCACAGGCACCTCTGCCACCCTGTGCTGCTGGAGGAGCAGCTCCTGACCCTGGCTACCTGCCACCCCTCAGTGCAGGGCACATGGCTCGGGCCCTCTGCCACCGGCTCCTGGCACACAGCCACCAGCACATCTCAGCTGCACCGTGACTTGACAGCGCAGGGACACCCCGAGCACTTCCCTGGCGTTCCCTGCGTTAGCCACAGCTCCTCATCACACCAGACACTGCCATGGGAATGGGCTCAGGCACAGCTGTCTGTGCCCCAGGCACCCCTCTACCTCCTTCCCAGGCAGCGCAGCCCAGGAGACATGCACCATCTTCCTCACTGCCCTCTTGCGGGGCAGCACAGCCCCGGGCAGGATGCCGTGGGGGGACCCAGCTCCCTCCCTCCCCCGCAATGCAGGGCTGCAGCTCATACCAGCCCCAGCCTCTGCAGCTATGGGGAAAGCACCTGATTCAGTCTCTACCCTCCCAGCCCTTCTCTCCCGCTTTGCCTGCCAGGACACACACAGCAGCAGTAACCAAGTCTGCCTCAGCATTTATAAAACACCCCTGGTTGCTGTTTCACAGGGGAGCTGGGCAGAGAGTCCAGCTGGGCCCAGGCCCCCACGTCAGGCTCAGCGTGTGGCTGGGACCTTGCCATCTGGTGCCAGGAAGCTGGTCAGCGCTGGCGGGTGCAGGCGTGGAGATCCCTGCTCTCTGGAGGCAGCACAGGAACAGTTCACAGCCCCCAGCCAACCCCAGGGCCATGGCTGGTGGTAGGAGTTGATTCAGACCCTTGGAAAGTGGCCAGGGACCAGGCCAGTGCAGCTGCAGCTCCGTAGGCAAGGAGAAGGAAGGCAGGAGATGCTGGATCCATCAGCAAGGAGGGGGGTTCACAGTTGTGCTGCTGGGGCAAGCCCATTTCTTCCCCAGTGGCCAGCTCTGCCTGCACGCTTATGCTGCCCAAAGGAAGACGAGGGCAGAGGAAGGCCTGGCTGGGGCAAGATGAACTGAGCTCACAGGTTCCTTGATCGAAAGGGCTAAAAACTCATGCAGGCAGTAGAGCAAGAGGTCAGTGTGTGGAAGGGTGAGGGCAGGGTGGTGGAGGGATGAGCTGACATCAGCCCTGGGAGGAGACGATGGGGCGGCTGATGGTGCTGTTTGTCGTCATGGCCGAGAGCTCCCATCTGTAACACACCGATGGGGTACAGTGAGAGAAAGCATGTGCACAGTGCTCAGGGCTGGAGCGGCCCTGCTGCACGTCAGCCTCAGCTGCGGTCTCCAGCCCAGCCTGCCCTGAAGCTGCACAGTGCCGAGGAGGGCCCCAGGCAGCCCCCAGGCAGGGCTGGAGCGCCCCAAGGACAGGGAGCGAGGCACACAGTACCTGATGTCGTGGGGAAGGCAGGACTGGTCCAGGCTGTACTGAATCACTGCTAGCTTGCACAGCGTCTTTAGGCTGGGGCCTGCAGGGAGAAGGCAGTTAGGCACAGTGGGCCTTGGTGGACACTCTGGGCGGGGGCAGGAATTGTCCAGGAATTGAATAAGCCAGGGCCATAAGGAATAGGGCAGAGCACCCTGAAGGACAAGGCAGGATGCACACCAAGGACAGACTGGAGCAGTCTCCTGTGCTCCCACAAGAAGTCTGTGTGTAAGAAGAGCCATGAGCCCAGCTCAGGCCTGCCTTAAGCCATGTACACCAGCCAGAGACAGCTGCCTGGCAACAAAAGACAGGGACTTGGAGCCATGTAGGACATGGGATGGTGCTTCACAGCAGGGCCTGCTCACAGGGCACCTTGTGGTGAGAGGCACAAGCTGGGCAGGGAGTGCTCACGTACTAAAGTCGAGGATGTAGAGATCTGAGTGATCCATCAGGTCGAATTCATCACCCATTCCCTCCTCTGGAGACGGGCTGCAGAAGCCAAGAAAAGTGTATCAGTTAATGCCGAAACACTTGTCCATCAGTTACAGTCCCCTGGGCTCCTCCAGGTCCTCACAGAGCTGGGTGCAGAGACACACACCATCTCCTCTAAGCCATGGCAGGGGATGGGCGAGCTGCCCCCTTCTCACCAGCAAGCACAATGACTCCAGCTTCGAGCCCACCTCGTCTCTGTCGCTTTGCTGCACCTCCCACCCACGGGTACATCAACCAGCCTCTGGCTGGTTCCACACTGCTCTTTCCCCTGGTCCCCCCCCAGGAATCACTGTGGGCTCCAGCCACTGCTCCCTGGTTGTGCCAAAATGGGGCAGCATTTCAGCCTGTAACTGAGCACGTGTCAGCACTTATCAGGGCAATATTCCTTTAAAACCAATCCCAATTTGCCATGTTGGTCCTGGAATGGCAGTGAGGAGCTATTACTCCTGGCATTCCTAGGGAACAGACAGCCTCATCTATTGTTTCCTGCCTTTGCAGTCTTAACTGAACAGCCAAAGCACCTGAGAGACTTGGCACTGCATCCCCTTAGCACAGAGAGCAGCCTGTGCTGGAGCAGAGGTGCTTGGACCAGGGGAAGCGCTCCCATGGCTGGTGGTTGTTTGTTTAGAATTCGAAGCAAAGGAAAGGGGGTTTAAGTCCTGCTTTGGTTTGCGACAAGGCAATTTATTATGTCCTCGCTGCTTAGCTGAGACCTCAGGCAGTGACTTCTCACCCCAGCGTCACTTCCTTCCCCACCTATGACCCACTAAGCTTCACATCTCATGGGACATGAGACAGAACCTGCTTCCCCCCAGTTCCTATAACACCAGCACAAGCTGCAGGGCACAGCTCGCTGCCCACACAGAAGACCTGTTGCTGATGGATCCCATCTGCCCGGATACAGGCAAGAGCCCCTTTAATTCCACCCCTGTGTGCTCACCATGCCACAATCTAATCTCCCATCCACGTCACAGGAAACCCTAGACCATCCCTTATCTTTCAAAGGAAAGCCAGCAGGCACCTCATTTGTGGTTTTAATCACCAAACTGCAAGCAGCTAGGGAAAGCCTGGAGTTCAAGACCAGGGGACAGCCAGAGCCCGGCAAAACTGCTCTTTGCAGCTGCACAGCAGCTCAGCATGTTAGAGCTCTGCATCAAGCCCCCCGTGAGAACCCAAACTCCCTCACAAGGGCCAGGCATTTCTAAGCCTTGTCAGGGAAAACACAGCCTCAAGCCAAACCTGGATGAGCATCCGTTCAGCTAAGCTCTGTTTCACAGCATTCCCTCTCTGTCTCATGCTTCCCTGTGGATGATCTCTGTGTGCTGTAGTGCTGTTGGGTTTGGGAGGAAACCAGACCAGGGTCTGTGGCACAGCAAACAGGAACACTGAGCTTGGTGCTACAAGACTTCCTGGTCACTTAAATGGGATGCAAGGGACAGGATTGCTGCTGGGCACAGTGACAGACCCCAGCTGGGGAAAAGAGCAGGGTCTGTGCAGGACTATCAGAGGGGACAAAGCATTGGGATGCCACAGGAGCCAGCACGCTGCGGAACTGCCTCTTGATCAGTGTATGTGAACCCTGTAAGGGAAGGCAGGACACAAAGGGGTTGTGCCAGCCCATCCTCCAGTGCTGCTGCTGCCTGGAAAGCTGACCCTGGCTCATCCTCCAGGAGCCCTCCAGATCCCAATCCCCCTCCCCCTCCCCGGAGCTCAGGTCAGGAGCAGACCACGGGGAGTTCTCCATTACACCCACTTCCTGGAAAATTTATCTCTCCAGGCAGCTCCAGAACACACCTGATAACTGCCACAGGAAGCCAGCGCAGGCCCCACTGCCACCCCCCTTCCCCACAGCCTTCCCCCAGTCCAAGCAGGCTGCATTCCTGGCTACCAACAACTCTCCCTATCCCAGACTAGTGATCACAGAGTCACAGAATCAACTGGGTTAGAAAAGACCTTCAAGATCATCCAGTCCAACCGTTCCCCAGCACTGCCAAGGCCACCACTAACCCATGTCACTGAGGGCCTCATCTACATGGTTTGTGAACACTTCCAGGGACGGTGACTCCACAACTGCCCTGGGCAGCCTGTTCCAATGCTGACTGCCCCTTGGGAAAGAAACTGTTCCCAATATCCAGCCTACACCTCCCCTGGTGCAGCTTGAGGCCATTTCCTCTTGTTCTGTCCCTTGTTCCTTGGGAGCAGAGACCAGCCCCCTCCTGGCTCCATCCTCCTGTCACGCAGTTATAGAGACTGATAAGGTTCCCCCTGAGCCTTCTCTTCTCCAGACTAAACCCCCAGGTCCCTCAGCCGTTCCTCATCACACTTGTGCTCCAGGCCCTGCACCAGCTCCGTTGCCCTTCACTGGACCCAGTGATGAACTGGCCTGCATTTGACTTGAGCCTGGATTAAGGAACAAGTTGAATCCTGAAGTTGTTCAGTGCAGAAAACAAGGCACTGCTGTGTTGTCCGGCAGAGGTGGACCGAAGTCCAAAAACCTGGTGTGAAATTTGTTGTGGTTTTTGTCTAGGTTTAACATCAGAGGTTGTAACAATTCCACACTGCAGGACCTGAGAGCATACAGAACTGCCATCAAGCCTTACCAAGCCTTCTAGCAGCACCCAGGATCTGTTGACCAGACTGGACAAATTCAGCACCTCTGCATACTTCTCCTGCACTAGCCACTGCCTCACACACACATGGACATCCCACAGCCAAGCACACCTCCCAGAACCCCTGGAGCCTGAAGGCCTCCCACTGTCATACACTGGTCAGCCCATCAGCAGAACCTGCCCTCCCTTGTTCTCTGCCCAAACCTGTGTTCAGAAGTACCCCTCAAAAGCCACTTCCAGGGTCCCAAAGAATGCCCCAAAGCTTTTCAAACCATGTGGACGCTGAAAGCATTTCAGATGTCTCTGCAAGGTAGATGCGGGGAAACAGGCCTGTGCTACAGAGCTGCAGTTTGTCATTACAGATAGAATAGAGTGTGTCCTGGTGATGGGCCACTTCCTTTCTTTTAGCAGCTGCTAAGGCTCTTGGCCAAATTCTGCTGTCCTGCACCCTGACAGTATCACTTTCAGTGCTTGACAGCTAAATCCCCAACATCAGGTCCCTTTTGTGAATGGAAACTTTGCTAAGGAACCCTGGACCAGAAGGGAATGTTGCCCTGTCGTGTGTATGGGCTTCTCAAACACACAACAAAGCTGAGCTGACATCCCACTGCAGCTTGGCAGACACCATGCTTCTCAGTGAAAGAAAAACTCTGGTAGGAGAAGCAGGGCAGCATAAAGGGGAGGATATGTCAGTCTGAGGTCTGCTATAGCACGGCAAGTTAAGACACGGGCCTTTCTGATGGCAGGATCTTCTTCTTCCTCCCCATTGCCTCTTTCACAGGAAGCTTGACCACTGCACAACCCCTCCTGAACAGGATGTTACATACTCTGGCCTCTACTTGTACAAGAAGGCTTGTCACCAGGAGATTCACAGGCTTTCTTCAATCACCCTATTGGCCTTTTCCCAGAGGAACTCTGACCTACATGATTTCTCACACTTGTAGGGTAGATGGACAGCTGCCTCTGGAATGTATCTGCCTATGGCATGGGGCAGAGTGTGGAGGCACATTGTACTGCAGGGGATGGCAAACCCTCTCACAGAGCCACACAACTCACCTGGTGCCTCCAAAGAGAATGATTTTGTCCCCCACTCTGCAGCAGCACTGCCGGCGCCGAGGACATGGGCCTTTCCCCTTGGGCTCAATCTTCCTCCAAGAAAGAGAAACTAAGGGGCAGAAAACAATGCACCAGCTTGTCACGGGAGCCTGGCCAAAACTACGTATAAGCAGGTTATGGATTTAAACAGATCACGGCAAAACTGGAGGCCTACAGACACCAACTACCCAACATCTACCCGCTCTGTTGACCTCCTCTTCTCACTACTGGAAAAATGATGAACTTCTATTAAGTTCTTACAGAAGTGTCACTTCAGGACCAGGCACAGCCCTGGAGCTCTGCCTGCTGAAATGGGAGTTGGAGGTCATAGAATGATAGGACCATCTAGATTGGGAAAGGCCTTCAAGATCATCCAGTCCAACCGTTCCCCAGCACTGCCAAGGCCACCACTAACCCATGTCACTGAGGGCCTCATCTACATGGTTTGTGAACACTTCCAGGGACGGTGACTCCACCACTGCCCTGGGCAGCCTGTTCCAATGCCTGACTGCCCTTTGGAGAAGAAACTGTTCCCAATATCCAACCTAAACCTCCCCTAGTGCAGCTTGAGGCCATTTTGTCTTGTCCTGTCCCTTGTTCCTTGGGAGCAGAGACCAGCCCCCTCCTGGGTCCATCCTTCTGTCAGGCAGTTGTAGAGATTGATAAGGTTCCCCCTGAACCTTCTCTTCTCCAGACTAAACCCCCCCAGGTCCCTCGGCTGTCCCTCATCACACTTGTGCTCCAGGCCCTGCACCAGCTCCATTGACCTTCTCTGGCCCTGCTCCAGCACCTCAATGTCTCATCTTTCTTGTCATGAGGGGCCCAGAACCGAGCACAGGATTCGAGGTGTGGTGTCACCAGTGCCCAGTACAAGGGGATGATCACTGAGTGCCAGGACCTACAGGCTGCCCCAGCAGCAGGTTGGCCACCACAGGCGGCTGGACAGAGCAGAGCTCCAGCAGCAGGCAGGCAGGCAGCCTCCATCCCCAACACCCTGCTGCGGTCCAGATCTGGAGGGAGACCCAGGAACCAGCTCCATCTGGCGGCAGGCACTGAGTGCAGAGCATCATCGCAGAGTGGAGATTGCTGGGACAGCTTGGTTGTGGGAGGGGAGCAGCGGGAACTGAACCAGGTGGAAAAGACAGCAGCCTTTGTCCTTGCTGCTCTCTGTACAAGGATGCAGGGAGGTGATTAATCACTAATGCACAGCCCTGAAACCTTCAGGAGCCCTCACACTAGTTCATAGACCAGCTTGGGGAGCAGCAAGTTGGCTGCTCTGAGATGACTTCACTATGCAAAGCAATTAGCAAACAAAATCAGTCTGTTGGACTGTGAGAAGGGCCTGAGGGCACCAAAACAACTCACAGTTGACTGATACGCAGGGTACCAGCTGAAGAGCCACCCCTTCTGCTGCACCGTTTGATCTGGTACCAAAGGAGTGCGATATGGTGATCCTGCAGCTCAAGTTGAGTGGTTTCCCCAGCTAGTCTCTTGCTCCCCTAATCCCACTGCTTCCCCTAATGTTATTTTCTGCCTTTCCCTCATCAACTAGGTGGGTCACCCTATTGCAGAAGGAGATCAGGTTGGTCAAGCAGGACCTGTCCTTCACGAACCCATGCTGACTGGGCATGCAAAGGCAGCATTAAGTACCTCAGCCTTTTACTCACTCTCAGTCACTAGGTTTCCCTTAGTATCCAGTAGAGGATGGAGGTTCTCCTTGGCCCTCCTTTTATGGCTAATATATCTGTAAAAGTACTTTTTATTATCTTTTATGGCAGTGGCCAGATTTAGTTCCATCTGTGCCTTCACCTTTCTAACTTTCTCTCTTTATAACCTAACAACATCCTTGTACTTCTCATGGGGTGACTGTCCCTTCTTCACAGGTGATAAATTCTCTTTTTCTTTCCCCCAGAGTTTGAGCAATATCTCCCTAGAGATACTTCCCCTCAAGCATGCTCCTAGCCCTTGGAGAGTATGCTCATCTGAGCACTCACACACTGAAGGGCCTTGAGCACTACCACTGCAACGAGATGAAAGTATAAATACCTGGATTGAATTTCCAAAGGTCGTGGAAATGTCTGTTCAGGCGAGCGTTGTAGCCACCAAACACATATAGCTCCCCATTGTAGCTGACTGCAAGGAGCAAGCACAGACATCAGTGTGCCACCCAAGGTACAGCCCAGCAGGTCCCTGTCCCAACACCAAACACAAAGCAAAGTGGCCCTGACTATCCACCCTCACTACATCACCTTCACGTGCAAGGCTTTTTGGAGAGCAGCAGCTTTCCACTGAAGCCAGGCCCTGCAGTCCCCTTGCTAACCCCCATCTCCACCCAGCAGACCAGACCCCCCCCTTCTGAGACGGGCAGGAATCTCCTTCCACTGCCCTTGTCTCTCAACAGACCCACACTCACATGCTGAATGGCTCCGACGGCCTTCAGGGAGCACTGGAGTTGGAGGGGAGTCCAGCCAGGAGTTTGTTTCTGTATCAAAGACTTGAATGCGGTTACAGTAGATCTCATTGTTGGAGTGAAATGGCCCAAAACGATCAGCTCTGCCACCAAACACGTACATCTTTGTTCCAATGATGGTAGCTGAATGAAAGTCTCTCCAGCGAGCTGGCGTGCCCTGCAGGGACAGCATAAAGGGACAGAACAGGAAGATGCAGATGACCCATGCTGATGAGGAGCTGGGGTGGCTGCCTTCTCCTGGAGAATGCTCCCTCCTGTAGATCCCAGCCATAACAGACAGAAGCTGTGAGAGAACTGTGGGCAGCTACCCCAGGGGACAGCAGATATGGGACCTCTCCTGCAAACCCGAATGAAAAGCAGACACTGACCTTGGCAGAGATTAAGGTCCACATCATGTTTGTGGTGTCCAACTTATGGATATCGTTTGAAAAGCAGTCGGCCTGGAAGACAGCAGGATAGCTTGGTCACAAAGGGACTGAGAAGCCTGGTCACATCTGGCCCCAGGAAGGAGGCTGTCTTACAAGACCTGGAGCATCCCTTTGGAGTCAGTACTTCCTAAAAGACATGGTGCTTGCTCCAAAATGTCAGGGTAGGCAGCACACATATCACTTAGCAAGAGGGAGGCAAAGCCTATTTATCCTCAAAGGTATCCTGTCTCTCCCTGCAGCTTTCCCATTTATTTGGTGCTCAGTTCCTTCCCCCAAAGACGCAATACATACATTAATAGCAGAAAGGAGAAGCAGAAAGGGGCACTAATGGGACAGTCAAACTGGCATTGCTAAGGCCACCTGATGAGAGGTAGAAGCTAAGATCACTTCCAGGAAGCTAAACATCCAGCAGCAAATACACTAGGGCTTATAAGGATCCCACAGAACTTGGGATCCAAACAGCCAGCTGCCTGGAAAAGCCTGCATTTAGACAAAGAACAGACTCTAGGCAGGAGAGATGCCAGGGAGACAGCAACAGCCTTGTTTGGTACTGGTTAAAGCAAGCCACATTTGAACTGCTCCTGCTGCTGTAATCAAGATCATGGATTTGGCACGCTGTTGCCCTCTGAAGAGAGGGAATCATGCTGGGACTGTCATAACAGAGCCTCAGCTTTATTCCATAATAAACAGATGTGACTTTGGCCACCTTTTCTGGAGCCTGAAGTGATATTTACTCACTTCTTAAGATTGGAGCAAAAGGATTTGCTCAAAGGAACATTAGGTACACTGACAGTGCAGGATGACCTCCAGCTCAAGGTATTCCTAGTGGGAAGGCAAGTGTTTGCTGGAGGGAATGAGCAAGATGGGACAGCAGGTACGGAACACAAGGAACATGTACCAGATTAGGACAAAACCTCACAGCAACACTGCAGAGATTGGAAAGTGATTTTCTGGGTTATTTCTCAGCCAAATTAAAATAAATGTGGATTAATATGTATGTATTAAAAATGTTATGTATTTGTCTACCTAAATTTGCTGAGAAGTGACCCAGAAATAATTATATATAAAAATAAAGAGATTTTTACCTATCTGTATGTTTTGGAGAAGAAAAAAAAATTCACCATTTTTTTTTTACACCTACTTTCCCAAGCATCTTCTCCACAAAACAATGAGCATCAGCTGGGTAATTAATGCCATAATTTGGCTGAGCTATAAAAGGAAAGCAACTATGGATACAGATATGCCCCCGTGCCCTGCCTCTACCAATGTCCTGGGTAGGAACACCCAAGGGATTGCCAAATAACAGTTTCAGAGAGAACTCACCAGCTGCTCATAACCTCCGAAGATGAACATGCTCTTTGCCAGGACACAAGCTGAGTGTCCATCCCTTGCTCCGGGGACCATTCCAGACACCTTTGGCGTGAACCACTTGTGCGTGTCTGAAACACAATAGGAAGCAATGCTGAGCAAGTATGGTAGGTGTTGGGATGGGACAGCTCTTTACTGCTGTACTTCACGTCTTAAGCAGAAACCCTCCTCTCACACACAGCATTTGCTTCTCTGGAGAGGCTGCAGGCTCCTTCAGGCAAAGCTGCCTGCCTGAGCCTCCACAGAAGGACATGGTGGCAGAGGTTTCAGCTCCTGGCTCTGCCTGACCTGACGCATGTGAAGTGTGAGTAGCACAGCACTGCTTGAGCAATTTCATTCTTGTTGAATCTCTTGCAAAGCCTACTTGTGAGTCACCTACCAACTCTGCATTTGCAGTTTCAATTACAATGAGCAATGATGTGGCAAAGCTGACCTCACGGCATGGAGATGCTGACTGACTGAGGAAAACCAGCTCTCAAAGCCAGGCAGAAGCCACTTAACCACAAGCTTGCCATGTCAACAGAGCTACCGTGCACATCTCCACCTCTGCAGTGCAGCTCTCCCTATCTTATCTGCTCCTCTTGTTACATTCTCATCCCCTCTTCAAGGGGAGCCTTCCTCACTTTCCACCCTTCACACAGCTCCCCAGGAGCCTGCAACCGCCACATTCAGCTCCAGGGCTCGGCTTTAACTCTAGCCAGAGCTGTTCTCCATGCCAGGGCAGCAGGGAGCCAAGCCTCACTCCCTGCCAAGCACAGGCACCTGTCCCCAGAGCCCAGAGAGGCACAGATAAGCCCCAAGGCAGCTAACTGCTGTGAACTGCCAAGAGCAGTGCTTATTTCAAGATGTGGTAACACTGGAGCCAAAGCAACATTCTTCACAAGGATAACTTCTCTGAACTTGGCCCATGGCCACAGCTATGCATCTAGGCTCCAGCTGGAACCACACAAAGGGTCTTGCAAGGTCAAAAGAATCCCTGGACAGCTTCTAGTAAGAAAGCTGCAGTGGCTATCAAGTTCCTTACCTTCATGGGCTGCTTCCAAGCCCAGTCACACGGTATCAGCAAGAGCTCACCCAAGCACAACATGTCAAATTAGAGATGGTAAAGACCTTGACTTGTGATCTGCTCAGCACCCCAGGGGACAATGCTGCACTCAACCAGGCGTTTAACCAGCCTGATGCCACTCCTGTAGTGGAACTTGCCCCACAGACATGGGGCTGCAGCTGCCAGCCTCACTTTCCAGGATTGGCAGGGGACAGGCACAGCGTGTACAGGCAGCTGCAGAGGGTTCGGACAGGACTCAAGTATGGCCTGTTGTTAATTGTCACTTAATGCTAAAGCACTGGAGCTGGCAGGGAGAGCAGACAGCTCCCAGTACAAGGCCCCTGTGTAGACAGAGGCTCACTGGTGGCTTCCCAGCTGCATGTGTCAGGGGAAGGGGAAACCCTGTGCCCAGGAAGCAGCTCCAAGCTGCGATACGTCTGCTGGCAATGAAGGGAACTCATGACCAAGTACCAGAGCAAGCAATTCCCTTGCAAGTCCAGCAAGGCAGTTACTGGTCAATATTTAGATGGACTTGACTCCAGAATCCTGATGTACTCCCTTCCTTTCTTGACACTCATGTGCACCCAGTTCCTGATGGTGACTGTTCTTCCCAGGTGCTCCAGCAGCACTATGGAGAAGCCAACCAAAAGGCCCAAGGAGTTTACCTTCTTGACTCACGCCTTCCCTTATTTTGTCATCCTGGCCCTGACTGCTTCTCTGTTTTATTCCTCACTTTCTTTCATGCTTTCAAAAAGAAGAACCACCCTTGAGAGGAACCACAATCTTCGAGAGCTCTAGCCCCTTCTCGCTGCAACCTTCAGCCATGGTTAAGGAATAACGCAGACACAGAGCAAACAATTCAGCTGTAGTTACTATCAGAGAGAGCACACAAAGCTGATAGAAAAATTAAAACCAGTTTGCCTATTGGACAAGCTCAGCAGTCTCTGTTCAAAGGCTGCTACAGAGAATCAACTGCACAGACGCACCAGCCACCCTGCTCCCCTTCTAAACCTGCTGAAACAGGCAGCCACACCAATTCCCCATGTGCACCATCTCCTCAGACTATCACTTTTTAGAGAGACTGAGGGATGGAAGAACAAGTCTGGGAGCAGTGTGGTGGGGCAGAGAGGGGGTGTCATCAAGAGCAGTTGCTGCAAGGAAGAGTGAGAAGCTGGAACTTACTGACATCAAAGGCATAGAGCACGTTGCAGGCTCCCTCAGTGTCGTTGCGACCACCCCATATGTAGACGGTGTCGTCTATGAGCACTGCTGAGTGCCCATACCTCATGTAGGGCACCTCTCTCACTTGATCTCGGCTATTTGTCCACACTGGAGGCAGCTTGATCCAACGCAGAGACACTGAAAGCACAAGTTTGAGCCCATGTCAAATGCTGAGCCCACTGTCGTGCTCACAGGTCACAACGTCCTACATGGTGCTTTTGTCCCCTATGGCAAGGTGCAGAAGCAGTCTAGTAACCAAGACAAAGCTGTGTCTGACCATGAGGAGTAGCTAGTTCAGGAATATGGAAGCACAGTTTTCCACAGGTCCCTGTCACACACGAGACTAGAGGAAGCACTGGAGGACCCAAGGACAGAATCAGGCTTCATTCTGCATCAATTACACTGAAAAGGTTTCCACTCTGGCTCATTCTAGACTGTAAGTGAAGGTACATTGCACACACACACAGAGAAAAACACAAACCCACCCCCCAACCCCAAACACAATAACCAGGGAAAGGAAAAAGTGCAGAGGTGACAATGAATGCAGACATGACTTCAGGCTCATGACATTTGTGAAGAGACTCAAAGCTGGAAGAATGGGCAGCACAGGAATAATTCACTGCGAGGGAATGCACCTGAAGGCATCACTTGGGCTTGAAGTGGTGCAGTTTCAGTAAAATAACTCAGCAGCTTTGTAGGAAGAAGGTTTATTTGCTTTTGCTTTGTTTTTTAAGCTCTAAATGAGATAGCTGCTTGTTTCCTTTACCCCCCTCCATACTGGAGTTCTCCCTGCTAACCTTGTGTTACTAAAAGGAGTTCCTTGTGATTACAGGTTCTCCTTCCTGGCAGCCTGTATGTCACGTTCAGTATTAGCCAGAGCAATTAACAGGTATTACAGGGTTTAATGACAGGGCAAGAGTCACAGCAAGTGTTACATGGCAAATACACCCTCCCTTTACCACACATACAGCCTCCAGTTTTGTTTTCAGCACCGAGATAACACAAAACATAGCAGAAAACAGTCTGCAGTTCACCTGAAAAGCTATCATAGGGAAGGAGAAAGGGTCAGGCATCTTAAAAGGAGTCTAAACCTGGAGACTTAACTGAGTGTTTGGCTCCCACCCCACCCCTTCCACACCAGGGTCATGCTGCAAACTGGATGGGGAGCTGAGCCAGCTAAACATTGCTCTTTGCACCTAGTTGAGTTAGAGTTCACAGAGAACAAGGACAAAACAAGCCATGGGCTATGTGGTTACTCTAGCAAGTCCTTATCCTACCAGTGAGTCCTTGTCCTAGCAGTCTGCTCAACTGCAGCCCTCAGTGCCCTGCCCCTGAGGCTGCAAATACAGGGCTGCACGAGGGAAGAGGCTCCCATCTATGCTAATAACTTTTGTGGCAATCAGAGTCAGGCAGCCTGTTCCAGAGTGGAACATGTCAAGGAGCAGCGGGGTAAGACAACTAATAACCAAACCCAGCAAGACACTTCTTCTCCACATACCACAGGGACCTGTTTACCTGCGTTAAAGACATGGACGTCAATCTGCCGCAGCGTCTCATAGTCTTCTCCAGAACAATATCCACCAAAGGAGTAGACCTTGTGCCCGACGGCCACGGCAGCGTGGTTCACCCTCCGCGGCCCACCTTCCAAGTGCACTGCCCACCGTAGCATTCCTCCCTGCGAGCCAGGCGGTCTTCAGGGCCCCCAGTGCCACAGCCACATGCTTCCTCGGCCACCGCGCTGCCACCTGGCTCTGTAACACAGACAGAATGCTAAAATAACACGACCCATCTTGCAGGTCTCCCTTGAATGACAAGTACAAAGGTCACAGCTCTGTATCCTCGCTCATCTGCCTCCTGGCTGCAGATGGTTTTACTGTTCCCTCAGGAAGGAAGCACGAGGCAGGTACTGTAACTGAGCAAGCAGAGATGCCCTTACGCACAGAACTCCCTCAGGGTGCTGTACAAGAGGCCCAAGGCTGAAGGCAGCAGTGCTGTGTGCCTGGCTGTGCCCTGGTCATGTACACACCATGGGCATGCCAGAACAATTTGTCCACATGAATGAAAACACACCGTGAGAGCCAACTCTGAAGGTGAAAAGAACAGAGCCAGAGGGAAGACAGCATGCTCTTGGGATCAGCGGTGAGGAACAGCAGAGGAAAACATTAAAACCCTAAAACCAAAAGAAACCCAAAGAATGACTCCCACATAAAGCAACTGCCTGCCCGATACAGGGGTGGGCTACCACGCTAGCATTTGGACTCACTGATCTGTGCTAATGATCAGAATAAGGCCTTTTTCTCCAGACATACCTATGTAAATTTTTGCACGATCACAGAATCAGCCAGGTTGGAGAAGACCTTCAAGATCATCCAGTCCAACCATTCCCCAGCACTGCCAAGGCCACCACTAACCCATGTCACTGAGGGCCTCGTCTACACAGTTTGTGAACACTTCCAGGGACGGTGACTCCACCACTGCCCTGGGCAGCCTGTTCCAATGCCTGACTGCCCTTTGGGGAAGACATTTTCCATCCTGCCGTCTCACTCGTCTCAGACTGCAGAGCTGCTTCTCCCTGCAGCCACCCCTGTAACCTAAAGTGCAGTCACCAACCCAGAAAGTCACATCCACTCCAGCAGAAAGTCACATCCACTCCAGCGGCTCCAGAAGGGGCCAGGAGCAGCTGCCTCCGCTACAGGCCATGTTTCACTGTGTGTCTGGGACCATCCCAAATTCAGATCTAGCAGCTTTGGATTCTGTTTCTTAAATTACTATAATATTCTTAAAGCCAGGCAGCAGCTCCTGTACAAGTCCTCCGCAAAGCTACAGAAGAGATGAGTTTCCATGGAGACCATCAAAGTCACCTCTCGGACTCTGTTGAAGACTTCACATATCTAAATCTGTTTCCTGCCTAGTCATGAGTTACCCCTGAAAATCTAACCAATATTTCCCTCTAAATCACGTCTTGGTTAAGTGATTTTTTGAAAGCTCCAAGGAGCTCAGCTGGGCTTTACTACCAGTGTCAACATTTTCAACACCCTCCAGGCTGAACCTGATCCTGGAAGATTAAGAGGATTAATCTTGCTTCCAAGTTCTCCACTTGGTTCCTTCTGGGGTAGAGGAGCACAGCAGCCTGGTATGGCAGGCAGGCTTCGTGCCAAGCCTTTTTGGCCAGAAAGGATGGGAAAACTCTCCTTCATGCTTGGGAGTTCACTTGATCCATGTGCCGGGGAGCACGCTGCTGCCAGAGCAGGACACTGGTCCTTCCACCCAACAGGAGCCTGAACAGTTTCACAATTAAAATGAGTCACAGGAACACAGGAAACAAAGACTACACAGCCTAAGAAGTTAATCCAGTCAACTGAGAGGCAGCAGCCCAAGGCCCAAGTGGTTACAACACTGTAGGAAACGAAGTTGATGTTGTAGCAACAGGGTTGTGCTGTCGTTTCCTACAACCAGGGTTACTGTGAAAGGTTTTCCCAGAGATAACTATTCCCCGGCGCAGTGGTGGGGGTGATGGGGTTGAAGTTGGCCAAACTTTGCATTAGCTTGCGATGGGGATACCCCTTCAGAGCAAACACAACATGAAGCTTTACCAGCACAGCCTCTGGCTGCCATTCCTCAGACCCAGGGCACACAGGAATGTTGTTTTCTCTTCATAAAATTAATGAATCAGAAGCGTGAGGTGATCCTTGTAGGATCGTGTATTAAAAGGTAAAGGAAAACACAGGATTTAACAAGCTGCCAAGGTTTTTCCAAATCCAAATGCTCTTTTCTACACTGCAGTAAAAACATCCAGCCAGGCTCCATCTTCCTCTTCTGATTCTGCCCACAACCCCAAAACCACCCCAACGTCTTCCCGCCTTTGCCAAGTGCTTCCCTTTTCAGCCACACACAGGATCAGCCCCATCTCCTGAGGATCCCCCACTCTCCCCATCCAGCTCCAGCCTCTCTATTCTCCTGCCTTCTTTCGAAATCCTTTCATTGGACCAGTCTTCTGTCCCAAAGCTATTTTTCCTCCTGCGATTCCTCTCTCTCTGCACTATCTGCAAACATGAGTTAAACACATCTTTTGAGGAAAAAAAATAAATATTTTCTGTGCTACAGCTATGCACACTGTTATATTCCGTTTCAGGTTTTGATGGCCAATGATAATTCGTACGCTATAGATGAAGACATAAATACACCACCTTCCCACCTCGTTCCTAAGAGGCATTAATACATTTGACATTAGGCAGGATGCCACAGGTTTCTTTAAAGATTACACAGGGCACAGCCGGGGGTGGGGGGCAGGAAGGGGAACAACCAAATCGATAAGAAACAGTTTACTAACAATCTCCCCCAACTGTTATGCAAAATACACTCTGTGATTTCTCATTTAGGACACCAGCAGCAGGGATGCAGGATAGGAAACATAGAAATGCTGATTAGATGGAGGTAAATAGCGCCAGAGAACCGGGAGGGCACTGGCTGCAGGAGGTGGTGCACGTCCCAGTTCAGGCAAACCAGGTGTTTTTTCACTGCTCTGCAAAGCTTGAATTGTTCAGATCTCAGAAGCTATTGCCACTAGGAGCTATTGTCTTCTATATGGATCTGTGCAGACACGGAGCTCAGTATGTGCCCTTTGC